TCTTCAGTTTCATTTTGTTTCCGCAGTTCCCTGTTTTTGTTTTTATTTGATTTTATTTTTGAGTGGGGGAAATGGGGAATTATTTCTGAAAGCAAAAGCAGAGGCATTTTCCTACTGCTGGCCTTGTGATATTCTGCTACAGCACAGTGCCACCTAGAGGTTATATACTGGAATTACAGGGGAGCAAAGGCTTTTTTTTTTGAAGTGCTGGGATCTCAGTTCTGCAGTGAAAATGAAAGCAATTAACAGTCTCATATAGGAAAGGCCTTAAAACTCAGCTCTTAGCTGCAACAGTGGGTAATAATGTTGATCTACCTTACTGGGATGCAGTAAGGATTGTAACATGATAATATATGGAAATTCTGAAGTGTTGTATAAATGTGATGTGTTACAGAAGATGAGAGAGAGAGGGAAAGTGAACAAAATGGGAAAGGAGGGCTATTTCATTGCATTTATATTCCACCTTTTTTCCTTTCAAAGGAGCTGAAGGCATCTTCGCAATTCTTCTCCTTCTTTCACTCTTATCCTCACAACAACAGCCCTGTTAGGTATGTTGGACTGAGAGCGTGTGACTGGCACAAAACCACCCAGTTGGCTTCTTGGCTGCATGGGGTTAGAACCCAGATCCCCCGAGTCCTGCCTTGCACTCTTAACCATTACACCCCACTGGCCCCTAATATGTTGTGTGTGTGTGTTTCTATCTGTATCTCAAGATGCAGGTTAAGGTTAGATCTTCTTGGTTCTAGAAATGGGAAGGCAGCTTGATCTACACTCAAGACAGTGGCATAAGTTGAAAAAGGCCTCTTCACACATTACAATTATGGTATGTTTTATAGCATCAGAAGAAAGCCGCTGTGTCTATCATGTGAATTCTCACACTGGGGAGCCGAGATTCAATGGGGGCCCATTGACTTCTGCTGAATGACAAATACGGTTTTTTTAATGTGTAGAACCAGTCCTGGGAACTTCCTTTATCATCTGCTACTATTTAGCCTCCTCTTAAACAGAACTCAAGTCAAAGATAACCCCTTTCTTTCCAACTCTCCCTTAATTTAAAAAGCCAAACAAATCATTTTTTCATATCGAGTCATCCAACACTGTTCCAGCCTAGAACTAATTTCCTGCACTATCATAAAAGACATTTGTTACGGAAGAATTGGGAAATATCCCTCTTGTGCTGTCAAAATTGACTCCTCCTAATTAATTAGCTTGGCTTTATTTGTAGTTCTTCCAATGCACGCACAAAGGCTGGGCTGGGGGAGAGGGAAACAGATTGCGGATGTCATGGCATGGAACAAAACGATCCCTTTTGTTTTTGGTGAAGAATCATTAGTAAGTTGTAAACCTGTTCTAATGACCATTAAACAGGTGGTGATGTTGGCAGGGGGCAGAGTCAGCTTTCCCCTGATCAGCTTTCCCCTGAAATCTTGAAGTGAGAAAGGCAGGCAAGGATGAAAGAGCAAGGAGACATTCCTGGGAATGGGGTGTCCCCCTCCTCTGATGTGTCAACAGTTTCCCATGCCTCGGAAAGCTTAGCATTCACTCTGAGCAGAACCCTTCAGTGTGCCTTTGCATCCTAGAAACAGCTCCCAGGAGTGAAATTCTCCACCCGAATGTCGCGAATTTTAATTGTGGATCTATGCACCACAGGGGCTGCTTAAAGTTGGCCTTGCCGCCTTCCCAGGTATGGCCAGGCACATCTTTTTGTTAGGTCAATGGGCTAATAGGTCTAAATAGCTAGCTATTGTTGCAACTGTAATGGGAAAAAACAATTAAAGGAGGAGGAAAACCATCACTTCTCCCAGCTCCGGCTGAGACAGTCCAGATGTTTGAGGAGAGATGGAGGTTTTGAGTCAAACAGCTGAATTCTACTGCCTGCATTGAGAGCAAATGCTGAGGAGTGTCTAGACTGGCTTCTCCTCTGTCCCAGCATAGTTCACCTACTTCACTTCTTGGCCTCCATGTTTCTTGCTTCTCTGTTTGCCAAGCAAGCAAGCAAGCAAGCAAGCAAGCAAGCAAGCAAGCAAGCAAGCAAGCGCCTTGATGAGGAAACGGAGGAAGCGCGAGAGCAGCTGGTGACCAAGTGTTGAGGAAACAGATCTGTTGGAGGTGGTACCCAGGATGACTTGCTCCACAGCCTTCAAGATCTTGGCCCTGTTTCTGGCCATAATGGAGGTGTGTCCGAGGACAATGGCGCTTTGGGTCTTTTTGGATCTGGAACCAACACCGACTGCCCCTTTCTTCCTTGGCCTCCTGAGTTGACCTCACCATGGGGCAAACGTGGTGGAGGTTGTGTCCAGGGAGGACCTCTAATCTCCCTTCCTGGGGGTGAAGGTGCCTCTTGGTCCCTGATTGGGATGGCCCTAATACACTCTGGCCCTGGAATGCCCTCCCAGGGGCTGTGCGGTGAAGATTTTTTTTTTCAATTTTTTTCAATTTATATCCTGCCTTTTTCCTACAAAGGGCTCAAGGCAGCTTACATCATTCTCCTCCTCCATCTTATCCCCACAACAACAACCCTGTGAGGTAGGTTGGGCTGAGAGTCTGTGACTGGCCCAAAGTCACCCAGTGGGCTCCATGGCCGAGCAGGGACTCGAACCCAGATCGCCTGAGTCCCAGTCCCACGCTCTTCACCACTACGCCACGCTGGCTCTCCGTAGTTGCTTCTGTAGGAGAGCCTTCATGTGTCTTATAACTCCACCCCTTTTTCTGCTTTCATTGAATTTGATTGCTTATTATGTATCCATATTCCTTTTTCATTATAGAATGCTGCATTATTGGGTAACATTCAATAAATAAGAAGGTCCTTAAAAGAAGCCCATCAGAAAGCAAGCAAGCAGGCAGGCACAGGAAGGGTCACTAAGCCAGACTAACAGGGGGCAGCTTCCAGCCTGGGAAAAGCCTTGTCCAAACCTTCCTTAATCTTGCGTCTATGAACTTTCCTGCCCTGAAACTTGCATCCTAAGAGTCAGGATATTCGACTCTGGGGGGTGCGAACCCCCAAGATGGACTCTGGGCCCCGTGCGCAGGTGCAAACAGGCATGGCCTGCTGTGGTGGATGCTGACCTTGAAATGGACCATTTGGTGTGTCCTGGCAAGGTAATTTTCCCACTGAAGCCAACCCTTGAGATGAAATAGAAATAATGTTTACTCAGATGAAAGTGAAAAAAATGGAGGAGAACCTTGATCACTCTGTAGTTTTCCTTAGATTCGCTTAAAAACAGACCATCAAATCCCCACACATGTGAAGCTCTGTCTCCTTTGTAGGAGAAAAAAGCACTTTGAGGCCCTTCTCTTGAGAGAAATATCACAGCGGGAGCAAGTGGGTTCTGATTTTTATTCAGCTACAAAGCACTGTCTTCCCACCCCACTTTTAACATTCTCCTTTCATGCAGCTGGGGCTTGTCACTGCTGAGAAAGCGTTTGCACTTCCAAGTGCAAATTTGCATCTGCAGGGATCTGAGTGATTGAGAAAGTCCAGGGTGTTGGAAGAAATGGAGGTGGAAGCCAAGACTGTAGGGTTCTGATTTAGCTCATGGAAAGATGTCGAGGCCCTGAAATCGCAGGGGAGAGTGTGAGTGTTATTCCCCTTCCCCGGAGCGGCTCTTTCACCTCCCTTGATTTAGGCAATTCCACCGTACCCTTTCCAGCTCTCCAGGAAGGAAACCAGTGAGTAGCTCACCAGCAGTCTTCCCTAACCTGGAGCCCTCCAGATGGTTGGACAACAGCTGAAAAGATTGTGGTCCAGTTGGTTGCAGGACAGAGAGTTTAGTCTCTAGCTGATCCTGAGGTGGGTCAACTTGACTGAGACAACAGCCACGCAGCCTTGTCTGCACACTGCTTGGTCTCATTTTGCTCTTGCAGATCAACATTTAAGAGTTTCAGAAAAGCCCTTCTGGATCAGACCAAGATCCAGGTAGCCCAGCATTCTGTTCGCACAAAGACCAGCCCCCTGTCCGTGAGATCCCGCAAGCAAGGTGGGAGTACAGCGGCACTCCCGGGCCCAAGTTCCCCAGTAACTCCCTCCAATCCTGGAGGGGACACGTAGCTATCAAGACCAGTAGCCATGGATTGTTCCCTCCTCCCTGAATCTGTACGCTTCCTTCCTAAAGCCAGCCAAGTTGGTAGTCCCCTGCGGATTTGGTGGCAGTGAATCCCATGGTTTAACTCTGTGTGTGAGCTTCCTTCTCTCTGTCCTGAATTTTCTGCCAATCTGCTTCAACAGGTGACACCCATCTGCTTTGTCCACACATAATTTTGCAGACCTCTGCCAGGTCTCCCCTTCCTTGCCTCTTTTGCTACCATCTCCCCCTTTTCTAAAAACTGGAGGTCGGAGAAAGACCAACTAACAAATGGTGCCCTTCTTGCTTTGACTTATTTTGCTCAGTGTGGTAGGGTCGTGTCCAGTAGATACGTTGCTTTGAGCAGTGGTGGAGTTCAGGAGGAACCTGGAGAAGCGTGGGGCCTCCTTCTCGGAGCAACAAGGCCCATCTTGCATGCTTTACTCCAGATCAAGTGAAAGCTGACGGTGGCTTTCCCTGAGGGCCTCCCGCTTCACTGGAGCTGCTTAAACAGTCACACGTCTTTGCAAGGTCGCTCTCTCCACTGTCTGAAGCACAATGTGTTTTATGGGCTGAACTTAGACAATCGAGGGCGAGCGTGGCTAAGTTCTGTGGAGCTTACTGTGGAGCTGCCTTTTATCCAATCAGTCGGTCATCTGTCTGCTTCATTTTGTCTCACATTTGATTGTTTTAAGCGCGAGTCGTTTCTGGGAAGAAATTTGCACATTTTGATGAGTTCTGAATACAAACCAAGCAAAACTCTCGGCCGTTCTTCATGGCATCTCCTGGGGGTGCGATGATGGATTGTCCTTGGAGGCGTGCCTGTGGGGGGTGCCACGAAGAGCTCCTGAAAAATGACTCCCCCTTCGCCGCTTCTGGGAAAGAGCGGGTGAGCAAGAGGTGGTGTGCAGATGTGCTGGGAGCGGCCCCCGGGCTGCCTCACACTTGCGTTCGTGGGCCGCGGATCTTCTTGTGCCTCTTCCCAGTGGCCACCGCAGGGCCGGACTCCGTGGTGGCAGGAGACCTGTAGGACAGCAGCTCAGGAAGAGGGGAGGGCAAGCCATTTTCAGAGAGGGAGGAGCTGAGAAAAGAGACCATCTTCTTGTGGTACCTGTTCTTTATTTCCTTGGCTGACCGGTAAAGGTTGCCAACGAAGCAGTAGCAGATGGGATTGAGGCTGGAGTTGGTGAGGCTGAGCCACTGAGCGAAAGGTCGGAGCTGCAGGATCCAGGGGGATGGAGTGGCATCCTGCAAGGACTTGGGGCTGTTGAACTCGATCCAGATGTCCATCGTGTAAATGGGCAGCCAGGAGAGGGCGAAGAGCAGCACCAAGGCCACCACCATCTGGGCCACCTTCTTGCGGACCTTCAGCCTGGAAGCTGGCAAGGCCTGGTTCAAGGCGCCGCCGACTCTCAACGGCCTGGTGGGGCTCCAAAGCCGATGGACGGTCAAGCAGCAGATGACCATGTTGAACAAGACGGGCAGGCAGTAGAGAGCGCAGAAGAGGAGGAAGCTGTAGGCTTGCTTGACCTTCTCCCGAGGCCACACCTCCCTGCAGATGGGGAACACCAGCGGGAGGCCTGGCACCACTCCGATCTCGTCCCGCTTGTTCATAAATATAAGGGGCATGCAGATCCCAGAGGAGAAGATCCAGACCACCAGGATGGTGCTCAGGATCTTCCGGCGCGTGAAGAAGGACCTGGCGTTGAGGGGGTTGTGCACGCTGTAGTACCGGTTCAGGCTGATCACCGTGAGGCTGAGCACGCTGGCCGAGACCGCCATGGCCTGGATGAAGGGCACGGTCCTGCACAGGAGGTCCCCGTACACCCAGGCTTTGTAGATCAGGTTGCCCACCGTGATGGGCATACACACGCACACCACCATCAGGTCGCAAATGGCCAGGTTTATCAGGAGGCTCTTGGTGGCACTCGGGCTGGGCATCCGGTGGCCACGCTTCCTGGTGAGCATCCGGAGTGACATGACGTTGCCAACAATGCCCACCACGAAGGACACCAGGTACATGAGGGCAAGGCAGATGGTGGCAGGCTCCTTGTCGAACAGGAAGAGCAGCTTCTGCAGTTCCTCCCAGTCCAGCTCCTGGCTGCTGTTTGACCCTCCTGCGGAGGAGAGATTCTCTGCTTTCCAGAGTTTCTGTAGACCACCCATCACCATGAAGCTGAAGGAGACGTTCATGGTTATTCCGTCTCTAGCACATGGGCTCAGCTTGCTATCCGTGGGAGAGTTTCCTTTCCCACAGCAGGTTTGGAGGGAGGTCTTCAGACCTGGGAGGAGACAAGAAGTCCGAATAAGACAGGACCTGATTATTCCAGCTTTAAGAACTTTTATGACATGGTAGCAAATCAATCGATCAAGAGCCCTGCGTCTTCTCCAAAAAGTGTTCCATAGTATGATGGCCACGTCGGAAGCTATCTTTTAACTATTGGTCCACCTAGGCCACCATTATTCATTCTAAGGGCAGGCAATTCCTACAAAGCCTGAACCCTGGCCATGCTGGCTGGGGATGATGGAACTGTAACCTTAAACAGCTGGAGCGCAGCACGTTTAGGCCCCTGTGTAGACTTTACTTGGTCACCTGGAATCCACCCAGATGCTAAGATCGGCACCTTAAGGCCTTCCTCCAGGTGCCCATCTTGAGGGAGGCGCTGAGGGCAACAACGCAAGAGGCGGCCTTCAGCAGCGGCCCCGCAATTCGGGAAGGATTGCCTTACTGAGGCCCACCTGGCACTCACACTATCTTCTTTTTGGTGCCAGGTTGAGGCTGCCCTCTGCTCCCAGACATTCAATGACATTTCCCTGGCCTTTATGTCAGTGGCCTCCTTAACATATCTAGCATATTTTACTGGAATTGATTTTCGCTGTCAATTTCAGATTTTGTGCCTTGAAATGTTAAGTTTACCATTTATTTATTTAAAATATTTCTACCCTGGCCTATATGAAAATCATCCCGGGACAGCTTACAATAATGTTGCTGATTATCTGTGTTTGCGCTCTTGCAAATGCGCAGATTGGCGCTCACCATCCGGAGAGCTTCCGCTGTCAGGCAGCCTGGGAAGGAAATAAGGAAGGAACCTCTGGATGTTGGATCCACCCCGATCACAAGCACAGTTTGTCCACTACCTGCTCCCCAGTCCTTCTGGCTAACAAGGGTGGGACTTAAACTCAGAGCCTTCTGCCTGTGAAGGAGCTGAGGACTGAGCTAAGGGACCCAATTTCCCTTGCCACCGACTCGGAGCAGATGGAATCATGACAAACATAAGAATTCCCTCTCTTCAGTATCCAAGCCGGCACAGAAGCGGATCATATAAAATAAACCTCTGAAATCAAGCCAGACATAAGCAGTTTCCAGTCCCACAGACTGAAACAAGCCCCTTTAATGCTTCTCATCAGAATCTGAGGAGCTAAAATGGTCTGGACTTTGGCTGGCAAGAGAATTTTCTTTATCTGCAAATTAAGTGCTTATTGTTAAACACCATCCCCTTAATGTTTCCCTTTGGAATCTATGGAGCTTAAAGAGGCTGGACTTTGGCTGGAATGAAATCTATCTCAGTCTGTCAATTAAGTGCTTATTTATCTATATCCAGGAGGACTTTGTGAAGGAAGATTTATTACACAGATCTCATACAGAAAAACCCCCACGCTGATTAATGCACATAACTTTTTAAAAATCATCTTGCTCTGGAATGATTAATGCTAAGGATAGTCAAGGAAATGTGCCAAGCCCGTGTGCAAAATTTGCCACTGTATATTTGCACTGCAGAGGCAAGATTTTGTTTTTGACTTCAAAGTAGACGTACTCATAACATCATTTGTGGAAATGTATTAAGCTTTTGGATACTGAGCCGGCAATCCTATATTTGTGCACCCGGGACTGACTGTGCAGTCCTAGTCAGGTCTACTCAAGAGTATACTTGGTTAATTCAGTGGGGCTTATGCCCAGATAAGTTGGTACAGAATTATAGCTTAGATCCCATTGAATTCAATGGGAATTGCGTCTGAATTGGTAAATATGGGATTCCAGTGTGAGGCTTCAGAATTTGGGCATTGCTTTTGGTACTCAAAGCAGGCTAAAGCTTGCTTTCTTTTCTATTAATTAGGCACCTTTGGGGGGCTAGTTTTTGGAAGCCAGTTCAAAACTGTCCTTTTTTTGCCCATCCATCTAGTTTTATTTGATTAATTTGAACTATGGTATTGCTGCAGGGGAGGGGGATGCTTGTTAAATGGATGACGGTTCTGTTTGCTGTGCAGCTTTCATCTTCACATTGCTTTAATTTGGTGTTGCAAGCCAGCTTGATATCGTTGCAAAAGGGGTCAAACATTTCAAATACGAGGCATTAAATGAAGAAATATGGCTGCATCTTAAAAACGAACTCATTCAGTCTGCAACCTTACACATTTGCATGGGCCAAGGTCTCAGTGAACTCAGTGAGATTAACTTCCAAGTTGATGTGCGTATGATTGTCCTCTCCCTTTTTAAAAATATATTTATATCCCAGTTTTTTCTTCAAGAAATCAAACATGGCTCCCATAATCCTGCTTTCATTGTATCCTCATCAGAACAACCCTATGAGGTAGGCTAGGCTGACAGTTAGTGGCTGGCCCAAAGTTACCCTGCAAGCTTCCTGGCTAAGTGGGGACTAAACCCAGGTCTCCCAAGGCCCCGTCCAGCTCTTAGGCCACTAGTTCACACATGTCTCTTGATGAATGATGTTCAGGAGGAGGAGGAGGAGGAAAGGTTATGTTAGTCCCAGTGGGCTGTCAAAGGAAACGGAGAAACAATTCTATTTCTTTGTATTCCTACCATTTGCATTGAGCCTTTTCCTCTTTGATAACCAACACCCTAGCTCCTAAGTAGCTCAAGAGACAGTACAGTGTAGTGATTAGAGCAGAGGCAGGCGATCTCTTGTCACATAAGTGCTGTGAACGACCCTTGCCAATAATGCATGGCAAATAATGCATGATCAGACTCATGGGACTTATTTCCCAAAACTTCTGGAGGATGCCAGGTTCCCTTGCCCTTCATTAGAGCTTTGGACTGCAGCTGGAGAAACCCAGATTCAAATCTCCATTTGGCCATGAAGTTCATTGACAGGAAATCTCTCTGCCTAGCCTACCTCAGAGGGCTGTTGTGAAGGTGAAACGGGTTGGAAAGAGGGCAACCACGCACATCCATCTAAATTCCTTGGGGGCAGGGCAAGAGCAAGTAAAGCAACCTGGTGCCACCCACCTGCCTGGTAGCTCCCCGCAGAAGAGATCTGTGAATCTTGCACGCTTGCACCGTTTTTCCTGTGGGGCAGGAGCTCTTCGGGTGTCCCAGCAGCACGGATCCTGCGCTTTGCCCGGGGAGGGGCTCGCACGGCCGCCTCGGAGCCCTGCGCGAAGAGCCCCCGCGGGTCGCGGTGCTGAAGGGACAGCTCCGTCCGTCCCCGCCGCGTCGCCCCTCCGCGCGTTCGGCGGCCCCGCCTCGCCCCGTCGCCCCTCTGCCTGCCTGCCTCCCCGCGCTGGCGGATGCGCTTACTCGGAGCAGGCGACGCCGCGGGCTCCGCCGCCCCGGGGGCTCCGCGGGGCGCAGCCCGTCCCGCCCTGGCCGGGGGCTTCCCGCGAGCTGCGCGCCGGGCTCCCACGGAGGGTCTCCGCCGCGGCTGGGGGGCTGCCCGGGACGCGCTCCCGGACCCGCGCCCTCGGCTCCCTTCGCGCGGCCGAGAAACTCCCCGGCCGAGCCGGCCGGCGCGCCCAGGCTCCGCTCTCCCCGCGCGAGCGGCGGCTCTCCAGCCGCATGACTCGCCCGCCCCCCCCCCCGCCGCCCCCCCCGCCCCCCCCCCCCCGCCAGCCGCCGCGACCCCTCGGCCCCGGCCAGCCCCGGCCCCGCCCGCCCGCCCGCCGGACCTCCTCGCCGCCCCGGCGCTCCGCTTCCGTCCGGCCACCGACTCACGCCGGGCGTCCAGCGCAGTGCGCTCGCTCGCGGACTTCAGGCGCCCGCGGCGCTGCCCTTGCACCCGCGCGCGCGCGCGGTTCTGGCCATGCACGTGTGCATGCAGCAGTTGGCCGGCACCTACGTGCACGCATCTCTGCGCGAGTGGCAGCCCGCCCTTTCGGGAGGAAGAGCGGCTTCGCGCGGCTGTTTTCTCCCGGGCACCCCCTGCCCCGTCCCGCATCCCATCGCGGACATTCGCTCACGCCAGTCCGGAGCCTTGCTCCCGTCTCCCGCGGCTCTGTCCCCCTGCGCCCAGCCGCCGTGGGGGGCGCCCCTCCGGGCCCACGCCTTCGCGGGAGAGAAACCCGCGTGGACAGCTCCGGCCAGGGCAGAAGGGGCGGCGGATGGCAGAAGGGGTGAGGCCAATGTCGGCGGGACTCCTCACCCACGGCAGCTTTCATTTTGAGCTTTCTAGGAAGTACTGGATTCCATTCCCAAAAACGAGGGAGCACCGTGGATGCCCTCCTCATCATTACTGCATTACACTTATATCCTACTTTATTCCCTCTTGCAAAGAACCCAAGGCAGCCTACACGCTCCTCACCCAGTCCGCTTGATCCTCACTTCTCTTCACGACACCCCTGTGAGCTCAATGAGGCTAAGAGTCAGTGATCAGCTCAGAGCCACCAGCTGTGCTTCATGGCCAAGAGGGGAGTGAAAACTGGCTCTCCCGGGTGCCCCAGCGCGACCCCCTAACCACCCCACCCAGCCAGCTGATCCATAAAGCTCTGAATAATCGCTGCAACGGATCAGGTTCAGCCCTGGAAGGGAGTCCCCCGGACCTCCCCTGGGTCTGGCTGTAGGTGCAGAACCTCAGGTGCCTTGCGACCAATTGTGCGAGGCTCTCTGATGAGGTGGGGAGTCCGGTTCTGGCACTCGCCACCAATTCCTGGGCTGAGCCCGTGTTTGGGCAAGGGCCCTGCTCCTTGGCGCACATCTTCCCGACACAGGGCTGCTTGGCCCCTGCCTGCCGTGGTGGAGATTCCAGCAGAATCCAACAAGGGCCCGACTCACCTGCCTTCTGCCTTCCTATCCCTGGAAGGGTCCCTTCCTCTTGCTCCCAACAGGCAAGTTGACCTAAGAGGGGACGAGAGCCTGGAATCGGGCCCCCTCTTGCATTTCCTGCTCCTCTTGGATTTCCAGTGGCTCCCTGATTTCTCCCTGGCTTCTTCTCGTTGGGTCTGGCTCAGGCCTGGCAGATGTTTCCTTGCACCCGAGACTCAGCCCTTGGACCTCTGTTCTTTGAACAAATTGCTTTCCTCCCTAATTTCAGATTCATGGAACTGGACTGTGCTCCTCCGGGAATTCTCCGTGGGTCTGCTATTATCTCATGTCTTCCGGGACTGGGGAACTGCAACTCTATTCTGGTGTTGATTGGTAGTGTAGAGATGCTCCTAATTAAGAACAGAAAAGGCATTTTATGCAGCATGTTTCTG